AGGAATGAGGAATTGCGGCAAAATCTATAAAAAAAAGACTCTTTAATAGGAAAGTCATTTCCTTCTTCAACACAAGGTTGGTATTTTGGTAATGCTTTTAATTAGTAATAGACACCGTATACCTACTGATATCCTACATTTTCTACATGATTTATTAGACTTGGAAATACCACATAATACTTTAATAGATACTACCCGTTTGAGTTGGAAATTTTTACAGTTGAGTTGGCAAAATGTCATGTCTGCCCCCCCAATTTTCTTGTCTAGGTCCGTCCCTGGGGTCAGGTAAACAGGTAAGAAAGGGTGAAATGCACCGGATGTGATTCATCTTTGGTGTAATAAAGTCCTTTTGTTAAAAGCAAGATGGAAAATTACATGTCCTTTAACTATCGGTAAAAATATGTGGAAATTATTGAATCGCCACTCATATATCGCACATAGATTCTAAACCGAAGTTTTTGTTAGAAGGATCTCGCCTCCGAGATATAGTGCAGCGGAGAGCCGGCGCTAACTCGCTTATTTAAGGTAGTTTTTTTTTCGGAGTAGAAAGAATTGGGACCCACACCATTTTGTTCAGAAATGTTTGAACCCTCAGAATCTCGTTTTACGACATTTTCCCGTGGTCCTGACAAAAGTTATAAGCCGTTAAAGTTGAACTTTACTCATTTACGCGCGCGCGACTAGACCACCGAAAGTATTTATTTTCTCAGCAACTAAGCGATATACATCAATAATTCCTTTTGTAAAATGAAAGTACATTTATAGCAGAATCTAAAGCATTCAATTTACCTACCTTGTTATGGACAGTTTTTAGAAAAATGACCGTCAACTTCCAAAATTGGTGTAGCAGATGAAAAGTGCGCACTTTGAACTCTCATAACTTTTTATTTCACGATATCGATTTCCAATATTTATAGCTCATTCGATGCTCCAAAGCATTGTGATTATTTTATTTTCTATAACATTACCGTGAATTTTTCATAATAAAAAAGTTACGGTCATTTAAGTAAAAACCTACCCACCTCGCCGAGTCGGGAGTCGCGAGTGAGACGGAGAGGGAAGGATAGTCAGCAGCGTTCGCGCAACAAGGAGCGATGCGTAAGAGGTTCTACTTTACTATGAAATTTCCCTCCGAATACCAAAACTAGCTATTTAGGCCGGTTACAAATGCATTCCGCCGAGTTGCATTGTAAAATCTCAAAATATTCAGTAACTTCATGTATTCGTTTAGGAGCCACCCTAAAAAAAGTGGTAAAAGTTTCCATTTCTCCTTTAATTTTTTTCTTAGCAACAGTTACAGAGACTGGTGGTAAGTCTTTGAATAGGTTTTGCTGTATGCCCTTTCCGGTTTTGCAAATAATTTTGTTTCATTATGTAAGTAGATTTTTGGTTGTATGGAGAGTCGTAGGAAAAATAGTGTACATGACTCGCTAGAAAGCCACTTTTCACACTCGTGTGAAAAGTATCGCTTTCAACACTCGTTACGTAATATACTATTTCAAAATTCCTACCACAAAAGGGCACACCCCTCAATAGGGGTGCGAAAAAATGTTGATTTCGACGAAATTTGGTATCTGGTGGTTTTTGAATATAAAAATCACGAATCTGAAATTAGTTTTTGAAAATTCGAAAAAAATAATTCCACTGCAATTGTTGGCCGGACAACGAAAATTGATAAAATTCCACGAAGTTTGTTGTGTTGGTACATACGGAACAAAATTGTTGAACAGTTTTTCTTAAGGTCATTTTTCAAACAAAAGTTACACTCATTTGCAAATTTGTCTTTCGGGTCAGAAAATGTTCTCCGATAGTGGCATAACAAGTAGGTACAGTAAACGTCAATATTACATGTTCTGCTAAGGGTGTCTACCTACATTTCACAAAAATTTGTCAAATAAAAAATGATAATTTTATCACAGCGAGCATTAATAACTTCGACATCAATGAGGAAACAGTCACAGAATAAGAATAAGTAGGCCATATTCTGTGGAAACAGACGAAAAAAATTCAACGCACATCCCTTTTTCAAAAGCGAGATACATCGGCAGAAAAAATCCAAATTCCTCGTTTATCTATCACTAGATAACGACCAGATAATTGACTTTAACAGCCTAAGTACATTCTGATAATCCGAAGTAAGTTCCGGTATCTACCATTAAATATATGTATGCCGTTTTTGAATTCTCCACCAACGAGCTACAATACCATCCTAACCATCGTCTAGGGAAATCAAAAAACAAGCCTGAATCTTTGGGACAAAATCATACCGTTGTCACTGCTGATCTTAGCAATACACACAAGAGCACAAGAGATACCTAATGTGGAGTAACCCCCAAAATTTACAGGGAAAGGTACCAATTTGTACCTATATATTTCACCAAAGAACTGAGATACATGGGGTTAATGAATTGTTTGAGATTTTACAATTCAACTCGGCGGAATGCATTTGTAAACGCCTAAACGGCCTAAATAGCTAGTTTTGGTATTCGGAGAGAAATTTCTTAGTAAAGTAGAACCTCTTACGCATCGCTCCTTGTTTAGCGAACACTGCTGACTATCCTTCCCTCTCCGTCTCACTGGCGACTCCCGACTCGGCGAGGTCGGTAGGTTTTTTACTTAAATGACCGGAACTGTTTTATTATGAAAAATTCACGGTAATGTTATAGAAAATAAAATAATCACAATGCTTTGGAGCATCGAATGAGCTATGAATATTGGAAATCGATATCGTGAAATAAAAAGTTATGAGAGGTCAAAGTGCGCACTTTTCATCTGCTACACGAATTTTGGAAGTTGACGGTCATTTTTCTAAAAACTGTGCATAACAAGGTAGGTAAATATGAATGCTTTAGATTCTGCTATAAATGTACTTTCATTTTACAAAAGGAATTATTGATGTATATCGCTTAGTTGCTGAGAAAATAAATACTTTCGTTGGTCTAGTCGCGCGCGCGAAAATGAGTAAAGTTCAACTTTAGCGGCCTATAACTTTTGTCAGGACCACGGGAAAATGTCGTAAAGCGAGATTCTGAAGGTTCAAACATTTCTAAACAAAATGGTGTGGGTCCCAATTCTTTCTACTCCGATAAAAATTTTTGAACGATTTCGCGGCTCTCTCCGCTGCACTAATAGGTAACTTGCTTTCCGAGCAGGAAATTCAAGCCTACCTACAGTTCAAAGTTAAGGTCAGCTTCGGCATTATAGGTGTCGTAAGTAATGTTGGTACAGTTATTTTCCACCCCTGTGGCCGCCTCATTCACGGCGAAATGTTAGTTCACAATGCCAGTACACACATCAAACAATTCGAGAACTTCCTATTTAAATAACTGACCTACATTTATAATTTAGCTTCAGGTCAAAAATGTAACCAAAACAACCACGAATCGAGTACACCTGCATCAAAAATAAAAATTAATCGTATGTCATATATATACAACGTGATGAATTGTCAATTGAGATTAAATTATGTCAACTTCAAAAACAAAAGTTAATAGTATTTTACATTATTAGCCAGGTAAGTGAGTTTTTACTGGCGATAGGAGAAGTTGACTGGCGAGCCTGTCATCTCCTAGAGCCAGTAAAAACTATTACCTGGCGTATAATGTACAATATTTTATTTGTTACTCATTTGTAAACAATAGTAAACGTAAATAATTAGTTTTTAAATTGATCTTGAAGAAATGTCTAAAATATCATGTTATCCATGTAACAGAGACTTCGCATTAATTCTGGCCAATGAAATTACTAGATTACTAACTTGTAAAATTTTTACAGGTCTGCTGTCAGTTTTACAAGTCAGTAGCGATTAAACATGACGTTTACCCGTTTGCGTTTTGTCTTGTTAATCAACGTTTACAACTGAGTAGCAAATAAAATTATAAACAAGTTCCTATAAAATATATACAGAACACAAAAAAATAAATGCTAAAGAAATGCAAAGATTATTCCTGCTCTAAATACCACAAAAATAACAAACTAAGTATAACGTTTTTTGTCAACCACGCGCCTATAAAAATAAGATGCTCTAAAAGGAGATTGTGGCGGGCTCTGTGACGTAATAAGCCCGACCAATCAGCTCCTAGAACCATTCACATGACATAACGAATTGGCAATATTGCAGGTGAATGTCATTTGTAACTTGCGTCACCTGCAGTTAAACATGCCTCTTAAAACGTCAGACCCTCGCACAAGGTTGCCGGCTCAGTTCTACGTGATTGATTGTAGGTTTGTGACGTATTTACACTGAAGCGTTTCAAATTCGGACTAACAACACAGCTTTTCAATAATTTATTTTGGGTTTATTTTACTCGCAAATAAAAATTGAGGACACACGGGTCTTTTTTTATTGGACTTTGTAGATCACAAAAAAAACATGAAGCCGGGATGCCCCCATTACAAACAATAGCATAACGGTATCACATACATACGTGATTATGCATTGCGGTTAAACCAAGTAAATTTCAAAAACAAAGATTCAAACACACAAAAAATATAAAATGTGGCATACAAAACACAAACACGATATAAAGAAATGCAAAGATTACTTACCTGCATAAAAAAAATCACAAAATAACAACAAACATTTCGTGCTCTCCAGATGACGCAAATCGCTTTCCTCTCCTAAAAATTGAGTGGTTGCAAACTCTCAAAAATGTGTGCATCGTCGTAAGTTGTATACACAGGGTGAAACCTCTCACTTTTATTTATATAAGAGTTGTAGGGCTGTTAAAAATCTACATATGTGATAAATTTAAATATATAGGGCCGCCCACAAAGTTGTGGAGATTAATAGTGGTATTTTTTAAATAGAACACATTACTTGACTCCATTTTAAACAATAACGGATAACAATGCGATATTGGAACATAGTCGTATTTACCTGAGCAACAAATATGGCACGACCATTATTATTACTCGTAAATAATTAATAGTTTGATATCTGAAAGTAAAATTCTGACAGAAATAAGCAAAAAAGAAAATAGCAAGACGTTTTTACTTACCGAAACAGAGAGAGTATCGATTTTTTTCATTTTAAGGGGGCAAGGCGTCTTCCAAACAATTTCCCTTTTCTTTTCAGCTTTCCAAAACATCTCCTTCGTATCAAATTATTGCGTCGTGCAAAAATCTCATATACTAAAACACACGCTTATCTTCAAATTAATTAGCCCACGCAGCGATAACGAAACCTTATCGTACTGACTGGAGATTTTTACAAAAGAATAAATCCTTTAACACGTAATTTCTTTACAAATAAACAAAATTAACATTAGATCATTCTTAAACAAAATCACATTTGCTTCAAATTCAAATATCATGATCGCAATTGTTTCCCAATCGCTTTAAAGAGTTGTTGACGAGCACCGTACGTCGATGAACAAGTTGAAATGGCGGATTTTCTGGTAATTCCGCCCTTTCAACGAGTTCTCAATTCCGAAAATAACCATCGTCTACCTTTCGAAGATATCCTGGAGATCACTTACCTTAACTGTGTTTCACTACAGATTTTTTCCCATGAAAAATTGGGTTGCTTCATAGAATATCGAGCTAACAGTTCCCATGGCAAATGTAACTTAAAATAAAAAAATTCTCTGTCAAGAACAGGTGGGTACTGCACATTACAAGATCAAATGAAATATTTCCCAACATCTTTTATTGTGTATTTGAGACAACTTACACATGGTCTTATATTTATGTATCTCACTATTTTTCTTATAACATTAGATAGGTACTACTTAGCAGTTTATTATACACATTTTATCATATACCGTATGCTATATTTTAATGAAGGTATTTCATTATTCTTAAGGCGACTTTAAGACTAAGTTTCTTATCAATAAATAAGTATCGTTTGTTTTTACTTTTTTTGTAATTATCTTTAATACACGTATTATAATAATAATAATCTCATTTTTTGTATTCGCAATTCCTCGCCAAATTTCGGAAATAATGAAATTTTGAAAAACACACACGATCTTTGTCGTAAAATTACGTAGAAAGATATGTGCCTTTTTTTCTTTGTAAACGGAAAACGGTCAATTTCGAGCTAACAATAACGTTAACATTCTTCTTTTTTAAATATATATAAAACTACAGTAAAGTTTACGAAATTTAAATTTAAAACATGTACTGTGTTATGCTATCACAATAAATTTGGCTTATTATTTTTTCTTTATATAACGTACTTGGTAAAAAAGACGTGTGGTGGCGTTTTTAAGTTTTACCAAATTTCGTCTCGCGTTTAACACATTTGATTAGGCCTTAAGATTGCTCGCGAATCTTTCGAATTATTGAACATCAGTTAACTACGGTCGGGGGTTTTGCGAAGGCAATTCGTAGATGTACCTGCGTCCCATCGCATGGTGAATTGGGACGCCGTCAAAACAATCAAGAGTGCGACTAAGTGGTGTAACTTTTCGTAGTATTTATCTATCACAGTTGTTGCACATACGACTCGAAAATAAAATGTAGACAAATCCGTTTTGTTTTTTTTTTTTTTTGGAAGACCACTTTTGAAGTTTTTGATGTGATGGTCAATAATTCTGGTAATATAAATGCGGGCAATTCGGGTGGCGAAAGTCCTTCGCGAGAACTTTGGCCACAAGTGTGTTTAAAAAACCAAGGCAAAACACTCTGTACATGTGACATATAATTTGAAACAATAGAGATAGTAGATGTTTGTTTACGCACAACCTTAGTAGAGCACATCGCTACTTTTACTAGATTATATATATACAAACTAATTTGACAAGTTTCAATATTGCTCTCTTTATAATTTATGATTACTTATATGGTATCCTAATAACTGATCTGGCCAAAAATAAACCATAAAATGAGCACCATCTTTTTTTTAAAAAAACACTCGATCTCAATCGTTCCAATTCGACTTTTAGCACCACAGATATTGACTAATGTGGGCGATGGAAAATGAAATTTCACCGCAACTCCCTTCGAGCCAATGATTATCAATAAATATAATACTGATAAGTAATATTTACAGAAATCGATTAATTTCGCAGAAGGCCATCGATCCGATTGAAACCGAGCTTCGGGAGGTTCAGAGTTCGGGAAACAAGCGCGCCTGGCCAAATCGGTTCTATCTATATACAGTATACAACAAAACCGACAATTCTGAAAAATAAATACTAAGTGTATATGTTTACGCTAACTACGGCTAGTAACAATTTCTACATAAATATTCTTCATCTTTGGAACTTAACAAAAGACTTACACTAAACGTTTAAACATCACCTTATTCGTGTACCAAACAAAAAAGAAATCGAACAAATTACTTTCAAGTGTCTCCGATTTTAAAATTTTTCAAATTTCAACAACATTATAATCGTCACAGCCTAAACGTTAAAAATTTTGTGACAACACTGTACAAAAACAAAACGGGATCGGTTCACGGCTCGCAACGAGCAATGCGCCCGGTCCCAAACAAAGAACAACATCGGAGAGTCTAATTGATCGTAATCTATTGCTACGAATGGCAGCTGTGAGCAATGCTTAAAAGAACTACGACAAGAAATCAAACAAATAACAAGTTATATAAAAAATAATGTCTTTTATCGTTAACAAAAAAATAATACACAGGTACTGTCTTTCAGGATGATTAAGTAAGAAATCCAACTAAAATCGGTAATTTTTATGCTTATCAATTCGTTCGGTTCAACGAATGGAGACACCTAAAAAGTGCGCGAGTGTGTGTGTAACCATTAAATAACAACAATACGTAAGTAAATAGTGAGAATCTTTGAAATACTCTTTACAGTAAGTACAATGTGTAAGATATACGCGTTTTTACGTCATATACATATCTTGGTAACTATTCAATATACCACAGCTTCAGCTTGACAAAGTTCTAACCTAACTTATAAATTTACGTTGAGGAATTTTAAGAGAAATGACACTGGAAATCGTCACGAGGAGTGAGAGAGGGTGGGGTGCAACTTTGTCAAACAATTGCACAAGCATAAAATTAACCATTTTTATTTGGACGTTAACTGAACAACACTAGCGCCACAGGCGGATGCGGGCGCAAACAAAAAAAAATGGTTCTAACGAGATTTCCAGCAGTGAAAGTAATGGCATCTCACTTAGTGCATTTAACAATAATATTGTCATGTTGTTAAATTATATTGCAATATTTATTTACATCTTCTAACTAAGAATAAATAATACGTGCTACCCCTTTTTTTTTATACGTCAAATACGTCTAAATAATTTATTAAATAATCATACTTGTACAAGGATTTGTCACAGTCTTTTGCAGAATGGATAAGTTACTAGGGGAAATCGCGTCGTCCGGGCGGACGACGGGAACATCCGTAATAACGTTAACGCATATTTGTACGAATCACAATTTGAGGTTATCTAATTTTTTGCAGGCGTCCGCGACGTTCGCGCAGGGAAGCGGGGCGTCTCCCGCGCCAATCTCGTTACTCGACGAGGCGTTCGTGGGGCGGCGCGTCGATCGCTTGCCGCCTCGGCGTGGAGGGGTGAAACTCATGGAGCCTAAGGGAGAGGCGATCTGTGGAGGAGGGAGGGGAGAATCAGAACCGTTAGTGACTGGGTTTGGTGGTGGCGTCTCCAGGGACGAGTTGCCCGCACTTGCGTTTGGAGTCGTCGTCGTCGTAGGTGGCGCAGCGGTGGTGTCTTTTGGATTCGGTCGTTTGTGGTAGGTTTTGTTGGCGGGGTAGTGTGGTCGATTGGACGAATTGTTATACCGATAGTGGTTGTTGTAATTGTGAAAGTTGCCGCGATTGGAGCGGGCGGTGTTGTGAAATTTACGCGAGTTGTACTTGTTCGACCCGAATCCGTATTGCATTATTGGAGAATAGGGTGCCGGTGGTGGGGTGTTGTTTGTGCGATTCTTGTCCTCGTTGCGATTTTCGTCGATCACTGAACTACTTTGAGATCGAGGTTCGTCCGCGTGACTGTTCCGTCTTCTACCCTGCCACGTTGATCTATCGCTATCGTGATGATTATGAGTGTGTGGCGCGTGATTCGGACCGCCGAAGTCGTGCGAGACGAAGCCGTTGGTGGTATGGTAGATCGCTTGCGTGTGGCTATAGTTAACGCTATTTTCAACGACGAGCATATTTTTATTAAATTCGTGAACATTATTGGCCATGGTGTCTACCGATTTTCTTCGCCATCCGCTTTGTAGAGAAACGAAATCTCTTTCCTGATGCTGATCTAATGATAGGAGGGAAACTACAGGTGTGTTGGATTGACGCGTCATGTCTGTTGCCACTGTCTGATAACCTTGCATAGTGCTTATGTTAGATGGCGGAACAGGTCCCATTTCCGCTGGCACGGTTGTCAGATAGCCATATGGTTCCTAATGTTACCAGTATTGTATTGATAACCAACAGTTTCAAGTCGCATTTTAACAACTACGTTACTATCGTGGAACGCAAGCATACAGGATGTTCAGCAAAACTATGTACTTTTCAAACATTCCCCAAACACTTCACTCAGCAACTTTGTATGTACAGTGTGTCCAATTTTGGTTGAGTGTACTTGCGGTTTTGGCGACTCTGTGCTACTTTTTTTGTGAAACTTTTAATAACAGAGACAGAATCAAGCTAGCTACGTTTGTTTCTAAGATACATGGTGAAAAATTTGTCTTTTTCTCATCTCACAACTCACATCTCACAAACAAGTAAAAAGGTTTTCGCCCTAAGGCGAGTAACTTCAGCGCATTTTCCATGAATGATCAGTGCTTCCCAAAAGGCCATAGCTATAGGCGCTGTGATTTTCTTTACTAGAGGCATTATATGGTTAAAATATCAACAAAATATATTAATAAATAAGAAACTTACCATTGCGCAATCTGCGCATGCGCACAACTGATTTTTACTATACGCGATATGTTTACCTTCACCAGAAGTATCTGTGGTTAAAATTTCAACAAAATATATTACTAAATAAGGAAGTTGAGATTGCGCAGTTTAATTGTCAAGATTTTCCTTGGCTCAGGTGCTGGAGCTATACGTTACCTAATGCAAAAAGAACGAACTTAATATCTTGAAAACTGTAGTAGTTCAGGCCTCGGACAGACGGACGGACAGCGAAAGTGGCTGCAATAGCGCACTCAACTTCGATGGAAAATGCGCTAAAAAATGGCACAGGGTCGCAAAGACTCGATCTTTAAGTCTCAACCAAAATAGGACACACTGTACTTTGAAAAACAGTTGAATAACTTTTAATATTGAAGCACCTTAATATTCAATCAACCAAAAAAGGGTTAGATCAGGCACTAAATCTAAAAATTTTAAAATTATACAAGGTCAGATTTTGCCTTTACAGCGATCTTAAAATACACTTCGGCCTATGCATCTAAAAGTCAAAATCTCAAAATTACAAATGCTTCAATTTTTGAAAGTTTTAGGCACCCTAAAAATAAGTTTGAGATTCATAAATATCCAAAATTCAACACGTCTGAGTTTTTAATTCAAAAATTTCAAAAACTCAATGCTGTTAAACGTTAAAATTTCAAAAAATCATACTTTCAGATTATTAAATTGCAAAAATTCGCCGCCCCTGATTCGGAAATTTCAAGATTTCATAAAAAAACCTATGCACCTACACATCACTATTTCAAAATCAAAGTATTTGAGCGACCTAAAAATAAATTTCAGATTTTTAAAATCCAAAAATCTTAAATGCGACATATTTCAAAAAGCACGTGCTTCTAAAATTCAAAAAACTTTGGTTTTTTATGTGTGAGATATTTCAAAAAGCCTAGAGTGTGAATCTAAAATGAAATTCAGATTCTTAAATTTCAAAAATTCGACAAAGTTGAGTTTTTAACTTTGAAATTTTAAATGTGAGATATTTCAAAAAGCCTATGCATCTAAGATTTAAAATTTTCATGTTAGCAAAGTTCAGAGTGTGAATCTAAAATGAATTTCAGATTCTTAAATTTCATAAATTCGACAAACTTGAGTTTTTAATTTTGAAATTTTAAATGTGAGATATTAAAAATTAGCAAATTTCACAGTGCGAACCTAAAATGAATACCAGATTCTTAAATTTCAAAAATTCAACAAACTTTGGTTTTTTATGTGTGAGATATTTCAAAAAGCCTAGAGTGTGAATCTAAAATAAAATTCAGACTCTTGAATTTCAAAAATTCGACAAAGTTGAGTTTTTAACTTTGAAATTTTAAATGTGAGATATTTCAAAAAGCCTATGCATCTAAGATTTAAAATTTTCATGTTAGCAAAGTTCAGAGTGTGAATCTAAAATGAATTTCAGATTCTTAAATTTCATAAATTCGACAAACTTGAGTTTTTAATTTTGAAATTTTAAATGTGAGATATTAAAAATTAGCAAATTTCACAGTGCGAACCTAAAATGAATACCAGATTCTTAAATTTCAAAAATTCAACAAACTTTGGTTTTTTATGTGTGAGATATTTCAAAAAGCCTAGAGTGTGAATCTAAAATAAAATTCAGACTCTTGAATTTCAAAAATTCGACAAAGTTGAGTTTTTAACTTTGAAATTTTAAATGTGAGATATTTCAAAAAGCCTATGCATCTAAGATTTAAAATTTTCATGTTAGCAAAGTTCACAGTGTGAATCTAAAATGAATTTCAGATTCTTAAATTTCAAAAATTCGACAAGCTTGAGTTTTTAATTTTGAAGTTTTAAATGAGATATTAAAAATTACCAAATTTCAGAGTGTGAACCTAAAATGAATTCCAGATTTTTAAATTTCAAAAATTCAAAAACTTTGGTTTTTTATGTGTGAGATATTTCAAAAAGCCTAGTGTGATTCTAAAATGAAATTCAAATTCTTAAATTTCAAAAATTCGACACGCTTGAGTTTTTTATTTTGAGATTTTAAATGTGGATATTTCAAAAAGCCTATGAATCTAAAATTTTATCGTTAGCAAATTTCAGACTGAACCAAAAATCTACCTCAGATTCTTAAATTTCAAAAATTCGACACGCTTGAGTTTTTTTACTTTGAAATGTTAAAAGCGAAATATTTCAAAAAGTCTATGCATCTAAAATTTTCATGTTAGCAAAGTTCAGAGGGTGAACCTAAAATTAATTTCAGATTCTTAAATTTCAAAAATTCAACAATGTTGAGTTTTTAAGTTTGAAATATTACATGTGACATATTTCAAAAAGCATATGCTTCTAAAATTTAAAATATTTTAATGGTTAACGGTTGAGATTTTAACTTTGTGATTTTGAACGCGAAATATTTCAAAAAACCTATGCAGCTAAAATTTAAAATTTTAATGTTAGCAAGTTTCAGAGTCTGACCCTAAAATTTCAGATTCCTAAATTTCAAAAATTCGACAAACTCGAGTTTTTAACTTTGAAATTTCAAAAAGAAAATTTAAAATTTTAATGTTGCCAAATTTCAGAGTGTGAACCAAAAATGAATTTCAGATCCTTAAATTCCAAAAATTCGACAAGGTTGGGTTTTTAACTTTGAAATATTGAATGCAGAAAGCTGAATTTTTTGAAGGGCTGACCTTTTACGAAATTTACATTCATAATATTCTGTAACATTAACTTAATTACCTACGTGTTTTATTAATTTACAACTAATTAACCATACATTTATAACAGTCTTGATATGAATTAATTTATAACAGCGCGAACTATTTATTACTTCGGCGTTGAAATTGGAACTATCCCGTAACGCAAATCGATTTGCTTATATAGTAAACTCGCACGTCATATTTCGCGGAAAGATTGCGTCACATAAGCCTTTGTTCTTTATCGCCGATGAACTATGCGTCTAAACAGTACAATTTCGAAGTGGGAAGCAAAAATTCAGCATCGGAAAGGGGGAGGGGGTTTCGAGCAATGTTTATCAGCTTGAAACATCCTGTATACCCGCCTACAGAGCACCGTACGATCGCTTACCTCGTTTAGGTTCCCATTGGCCATATCCAAGGGGTCCTGGTAGATGGCGGAGGTCTCAATCGCGTTATTATACATGGGCATGTTGATGTACATACTCTCACCGCCGTAGGGCAGTGCTGCGTTGAAGCATGGGGTTCGCGGTGGGCTACCGGGAGGTTGCATTGAGTGGCCCGGAGGTGGTTGGGAGGCGTTCTGGTTGCCCACAACAAACTGCGGGCCTCCATTCGTGTAGTAGCCGTAGTCGTACTGCAATCACATCACGTACAGAATCGCGCGATAGCAAAAAAAAACGCATGCACTTCACCATTTTGAATCGAGGTTTCGCTTAAATTTAAAGAAACTTAACAACCATGCGCTAGTAACACTCAGATGAGGAAGCAATGTTAAACTTAACACACGACCTCTCATTATTACAGACAATTGACTAAACCAAACTACACTAGGCTCTTGTGCGGTCAGAATATAAAATGGTTTTACGTACAGCCCTTCGACCGAGTATGACAGAAAGGGTTTCCAGCTTCCTAGCTCGAGCTTGCGATCACCGTTTTTGGCACATTTCATCAATAATATCGCCGTACAACGGCCGGACGGACGCAGAGAACCGTATTGGGTGGACACATCATTAACCAACAGTCGAAGCGTTAGTTGAGAACGCATGGAATTTTAATTGCCAACATCCATATTTTATTAATCTCTGTCAATTAAATTAATGTGGGGATTCCGGAAATATTGTTAGTGAATGGACTCCATAGGAGGATTTTACAGTGCGTTCTTTTCTCTTTACCGTAAGTACCGCCATTTGCATTTCACATCATTGAACTGTACCTTTTCTTTAGGTTTCGGTTGATATTTGTCATATTACAATTTCCATCGACGGTTGTTGCATTCATCTATAATTAGCCGTCTTATTGAAGAGGTGGGTTTAATTTATCAAGAAAGAGGGGTTATCTTTGGTTTTCTTTTAGGGGAGGGCTAACCAGCTACTTTAGCACCCACGTTCAAGGATTGAAGGTACTTGTGCGAGATCATACGGATATCGTGCAGGACGACTGCCATTCCAGAGTAATTGGTTCACCCGTGTCATTTTGAAGGGGGATCTTTGATCCCGGAAAGTGTGATTGAAGCAAAAACTCCAAGATCCCGTTGGCGGTCTCTGTATAACCCCCTTCAAGGCTGCCATCTGGGTCCCGGGAGAACATGGTGCAGAATTCCTGGGCTGGTGTCTCTTCCACATAGCCCTAAAGAATCAACCTCAAGAGTAACTGTGAGGGTTAATAACCCTGCAGAATCTGAGATGGTGAGTATGTCAGTACAACCACCAAAACAACACCAGCAGCTGCAAAAAGCTACGGGAGCATCACCGCCCAGGCAAACTGTGGTCGGTGCTTGCTCCAGCGTTAGCAACTCACCCGGGTATTCGAACTGGGAGAGCACCTCTTTGGGAGATGCCTCTCGGGTCCTATTGACTTACAGAATAAAGCAGATCTTCTTACCAACTCCATTGTGGAGTTATATAAACAGGCATGTCCTCTGAGGAGTGCCATAACCATCCCTTATGGTGCAGGGCGCTCGAAGAGCAGAAAACTCAGTTGGGCAAGCCGTTCAATAAGGCAAAGAGCAAAGCTACAGCCGATGGGGAAACCTATAAGTAAACTTAAGACTATACAGGGTGTTACATGACCGTATGTAAAAAAATTGGGTGATAGAGGGGATCAAGACAAGCACTTTGTCCAAATAAACCAACGTGTTTCGTTTGGGGTAAATTTCGTTCTTGTCCGAGTATAACAAAGAGATGAAATTCGGAACAGAACGATAATAAATAGCGGGTAAGAATTTTTGCCTAAAAAAGATATCAGTTTCAGGGGATGATTTATCGAGGTTTAACTGCACCTGTATAAGCGAGACGAATTGGGATGTAGCGGTCATTTCTTATGTGAATTGCGGAAACTTTGCGACTACTAGTTTCATAATCTTATATTTCAATGTCACTTATATACAGGGAGTCCCATTTATCTTGACAGTCGATTATTGCGGAAACTAGCAAAAAATGATTTAGATAAAATATTCTTTCCACCTATGGACCTATTTTCCAAATAGAAACCTATACACCTATATTGAATATCGAAAAATAATACACTTTCGTGGGAAATTTTTTCCCTACAGTTACCATTTTTGGAAAACGACTATTCTAAATGCGCAATTTTTGGTTTGAGCTAGGAAGAATTTGGCACATTTTTTTTCCATTTTCATCAATTCAAAGTGCAGGAAATCGACGGAGCCCGCGCCTAATTTGTAACACTTAGTGTTCTTTATTAACAGACAAAAGGGCTGTACGTAGCTCCATTTGTTACGTTCTAGGCGCAATAAAGTGTTTTAAACTGACCACCCGAGCCGTAAGGATCAGTCCGCATTCTATTCGTGCAGTCGGGTATTAATGTGGACTAAACCCATAACCAAAAAAACAAAAATCGGCAACGTGCACAAACATTTGAGGATGTAGAGACCTTAAAAAAGGGGTAGAACATGAAGTAGGGCGACCTCAGTATTGCAAGCCGTCCAACAGTACGTACGCAGGTTGAGTCACTGGATAAAGTCCTTCCGATATGTAATTGCTGGACTGAACATATACAGTTACACACATCATTATCGACATTAAGTAGTTGGTAGGGTGATATATAGATGTCGACTTGTGCAGTGTTTAATCAAGATCATTTGTCTCTGGCTGTGTCCTAACCAGGGAATGTACTTAGATTCTTAAACAAAAATAATAGTGCATGTCACAAACACAACCAGTGACTGATTTTGAACATGTGCCACTGTGCGATAGTCAAAAACTTGTAGTGTGGACGAGTGATCTCGCTGCTCACATTTAAATTATTAATGAGAGGTTTATACATTCCTTCTGTTAGAAAGATGCGTCAGTTACAAAGCAACAAGTGACAAAATGGCGGAAATACTAACCGGTACGGGCTGGTAGGGAAACTGTTGGGGCATGTAGAGCGGTTGGGTGGGGTAGACTATCGACGGGTAAGCTGCGGTTTGCGGTGGACCCGATTGTGCTGTGTAAACAGATGGTGCTGTAACAGAAATTGTGAGACGGACGTTAAAAAAGGGCTAATACGTACGTTGATAGACGGGTGGCTGTTGCGTGGTCGGGTCGCCGGGTTGTGGCGCCTGTGAGTAGTACGTCATTCCGCTGTGATAGAACGGCATGTTTCCGCCGGGTATGAAATATGGAGCTGAAGCGCCGGGCGTTATACTTTGGGGACTTGCCGCCTCGAAGCCTCGACTGAAAGGCTAATAAGATCGTAATTAATTTGAGCTAAAATCATAAACAAATTCAATATTACAGATCTTACCACTAACCTGAAAAAGAGCATGGGCAAAGAAAATGTTATTTATTTTTGCGAAAATTTACACAGATACCGCTTCATAGCGAACACGAACAAAAGTATGTCTGGCGATAAGAAGAATCGTATTGAGGAAAGCGGGCGTGGGTTCGCGATTCATGGCTAATTTTGCTTCCACTACACCTTAGATTCATAATAATAGGTTTAATTTTATGTGAGATCGCATCTACACCTTGCATCCCTTAAATATAGCCAATCAAATTAGAGCAAGTTACTTTTGGAAAAAATTCTCAATAGAAATGCAACGTTAACTGTACAACACAATATTGTACATCACCCTTGAATCCATAGAGATCCAATCAAATGGCAGCACATGCCACTTCTCAAAAATATGTTGATAACAGTTGCAGTGAGAGCAAACAAGGTTCACTTGGGAGCCTTGCGGTCGTGTCCCAAAGATAATACTACACCGCTTGTACAAATTATGAACCGTCAATTTTGTCCGCAGAATAACTTGACTCAATGTTTTTAGCGCAATAGGGTGTTCATACAAGTCAGAGCATAAGTGGTTGTGTAGTTAGATAGGTGGGACAGGGTACGCACATTCGGTTCGGATGATTTTTCGAATGAAGTCCCTAGAGCTATTCTCGTGTGATTATGAGAGGGAAACCCTGAATTGAATTTAATTAAATTCTGGTCAATTTTTAGAGCGACACACATCCTCGAGCAACTCGTTTCATAACACAACATAGGTCCTACCACTGAAAGGTTTGTTACCTGACGAACATGTGTCATGGGTTTCAGTTAGTTTTGGGGGGAGTTCTGATTTTTGGTTTTAAGTTGTGCAGTCGCCTGTCGGCTGCATCCTGGGTTATTACAGAATTTTGGTGTCGCGACCAGGATTTGACCTTGGTCCATTACAAGCATCAAAAGTTGCTGTGGAGAAGTGTCATTGGCTTTGCTCTAGGTCACTTGCTTTTGGAAGTGAACTGATGCAATGGATCCATTTAGTGTAAAAATCCACGGATGCCCACCGGATATGTTCGGAAATCTACGAGATATCCTAGGAAACTTACGTAATATCCTTGCATTTTAATTAATACCCTCAAAAGTAATTTGTAAATAGGTAATTCTTTAAATTTGATCGCTTTTGTAATTTATTCAATATAGATAATGTGTTACAAGTAAGACACATCTGGTCGTTGCGATAAGGGCTCTTATCAGGCGAAATTTAATTAACGCACGTGTTTAATCGCTGTTAGATAACGAAGATGCAGGTTTTACGACGAATTGCGCGTTTCAGCTGGACAAGTGGGGACGTTTGGCGCGCTCCGTCGTTAGTAAGCGGTCGATTTAAAAATTCTTAAAGGAGATAATTTGATGGTAGAAGTGGTGTTTCCCTAAATACTGGAGACCAACAAGAAAAGGAGGCTTCGCGACGGTAAGAGTGTGTACATTTTCCTAGGTTAAACTACGCGCGGCATTTGTTTGGTTGAAGACGCTTGTGTGTGGTATTTGTACTCTGACCCTGAGTGGCTATTTTTATTTCAGCTGATTGATTTACGTCGAATAAATTTGTTTCATCTGTAAATGAGTAGCTTTGTGTTTAATCGAGCCCAAATTAAGACCTAGATAAGAGTTCTCATGTCTCTATTCATGCCAAGATTGTCATATGTTATTGAAAAATTTGTTAAATCATTTTCTGAAATTGGGGGAGTGATCAAGGCTGTTGTATTTCTCAAAATAATAAAATTAAAGTCTTGTCGAGATTTTCCGTAATGGCGGATCCCAGACATGTCATGTAAAAACTTTAATTGAGCTAGCTGGGCAGGTGTTCATGTGAGTGGTTTAGTGACCATTTACCATAGCAATATTTTTACTCAAAAGATGTCGAAATCGTTATTTATGCATCAATTTTCTTGGTGAAAAATCTAAACTCCAACCAAGAAGTGATCCGTCCAAAAATATTTTCACCCAAAAAATGTCAAGTGTTATTTGCGCATTAATTTGCTTGGGAAAATGAGCAAACTCGATTGCTCGATATATATGAATTTTTGCTGACCAAAATTTACTATAGGTGGAACTCTCATAGTAAGAAGTAAAATTCTAGGAATGGTACCGAGTAGCTATAGCAGAAATACGTGGTTCTTAGATCTGGGTCCAAAAAAAACAAGGCATGCTTTCGGTATAAACACCAAAAGTAATGATCGCACTCCCTGTATATTAATAATATTTCAATTTGCGCCTTAGTGTTATTTTCCCTTTTGGTTTTGTTTGTAATTGCATTGATTTTTGTTTAAATTGTATCGTTTGTGTAAATTATTCGATATAGATAAGACGCTATAAGTAAGGGACATCTGGTTGTTTGCGATAAGAGGTTTTGTTATCGGATCTGATTTAATTAACGCACGTGTTCTGGAGAGATGCATAACAGAAGATCAAGTTATCGTCCAGTGAAGTGATAAAAGTATGAGAAAACTTGAGTGAAATTTAAAATTTTCTACCGCCGCTGAAAATCTTTCGAATTATTGCGTCCAGTTTTTTTTAAGATAAAAGTGAAGTTTACTGTTTTTGTTTTTGTAAGTGCGTCTGAAACTGTAAGTAATTTTAACGTTTTTTTTAAATTTTTAATTATCAAACGTCTGCGTGCGAGGAAATGTGTTTAAACAAGCTTTGCAAGCTTCTCTTTCTTCTAGGAGTTTTAATTTAATTTTTGTGTTTCGGAACAAATTTTTGAAAATACTTCCTATATTGTTTTGTTACTTACTATACCTGGAATCCTGTTCAATACTGCAAACTTCCTATGAATACCTCCAATTTCATTTTCAATACTGATGATTTCCTGTGAATAGCTATTTATTGAATACCCATTGCAAGTACATGAGAATTCCTAATGTACTAACCCCTCGCTTTTATCTGTAGAAATATAGAGAAGCGGCTTTTACATTTTCGGCTCCGTTTCCAAGAAAAGAAAATTCTAAAAACGCTCGGTTTCGGCGACTGCGGCGCTTCATTTCGCACGCCCGCCAAACTTCATCAGTCAATATTTTCTTGGATGGGATATACGCTCGGTTTCGCCGCCTCACCTCGCGCATCCAGCGAACTATATAACGATATAAAATATGCTTACGACCTATTTCCATACCAACCAAATATACAAAAAAAATTTCATACAAATCCGCCAAGCCGTTTCGATGTGCGACCACAAACACAGAAAAAATGAAACCAAAGCCCTCACGCTTCCATTTCACATATTTTGAGGTTAAAAACATTTTTATTACAGTCTTTGAGTGCGACCGCCATTTTGAATTTGTTTAAATAGCATCAAAGGTCATATGACACGGCATTAGAAAGCTTTTTTTTCTTCTCTTTCTTACCATCTCAATCATGAATGATAAAAAAGCTCCCCTTTGAAAAATCTCATTTTCTCGACACATACGCCAGGTTTCGGCGGGGCCGCCTCAACTCTCACACCCGACTTTTTCATAAAAACCGGTTGAGCCGTTTTGGGGGAGTACGACCACAAATACACAGACATGAGTTCTTTCTATAGGTATTAAAGAAATACTTCCAAATATGCAGTAAAATATGGGATGTTCCATTTTTAAAAAAGTAAGTTTGATACGCCACTGGAATACAGCACGCCACTGGTGACCAGAAATATTTTAGAAACATGGCTACTGTAATGATTTGAGGCATCCTAGATGATGCACCCGTATACACGGTTACTTAAACAAGGAAAAATATTGAATTTAATATAATCAGAAGTAAATTCCATCGACCTCTAAAATATGGCGTAATATTCGCGATCGTAACGTAAATTCTGAGAGATGCCGACACCGATATTTGTCTTTACCGTTAAATGTAATTTGTCATATGTCAAACAGTCGAATACGTATATAGTAAAAGCCCCCTATGGCCTCTTTCCGGAACTAAATACCTGGTGTCTATCTAGTGTAGAATTATCTTTGGTTGCCCTTACACCCACATCGCATGTGCACCCTTTAACCCTTAAAGAGGACCTATCAAATAAGAGCATGAGCCCTTTCTGAAAAAAAATGTCACTTGTAATGGAATACCATAACACTCACCTGCTTCTTAATCGCCGGAGCGATATTCAGCTTGCGTTCGCGTAAAACAATATTATCAGCCTCGCGCTGAAGCCGCTTAGCGTCGTCCTCGGTCTCGAAAGTGACAAACCCGTAACCTTTGGACACCCCGGCACGATCCTGAATAATTTTCGCCGCCTTGACCGTACCGTAGTTGCTGAACAGCTGTAGTAGCTCCGCCTCGGTCGTGTTGGCGGAAATTCCGCCGACAAAGATGCGATTCGGCACGAGCGTACCTGCAAACGATCGCGGTCGGTTGGCGGGCCCGATCTATAAAGTACTCACCATATTTCGGCGCGTTAGTTGGCGGCGTCGTGCTCTGAACGGGCACCTGAGTGTTGACCGAATTGGTGATCGTCGACACGGGCGTGCTCGACGGCGTGTTCGTCATCGAATTGTTGCTGCTCTTTTTTCCGTTGCTCTGATTCGAGGTCGACATTTCGTAATTCGTACACTTTCAATTCTACCTACAAACGTAATTGCTAGCTTAGTGTCGTCGACGAAACTGACAATCTGAACACATTTCGTAAGAGAGAGGGGGGGAAACAGAGAAAAGCACCAAGACTCACTTTCGAAGCACCTGATGGACTAAACTTGCAGTGGCGATAATTTTCTGGAAAAGAGAAAAAACGGTGTTAGTGATTCAAACACAAACAATAAACAATTGCCGCATTGCTACCAATACATAACCTGACATGCAAAAAAAGGTAAAATCCCCCAATGTTTGACCCACTTCCAGAATGGCCTATTTTCAGAATTTGCGGGATCCTAAACTTATCCCTGCGACACTTTCGCGAGACAACCACACTGTGCGCGAATAGACACCACCCCGGAACGATGGGGGCGAAGCCCCGACCGACCACGTTAATTCCACCGACTTTGCCACATCCCAAAGAACAACGCAAGCTTCCACCACTTACCTTACCCCACACAGACGAAGCTTAAAGCAAAACTAAAACGCTAAATCAACCCCCAACAAGAATTCAACACAAACAAATTCCCATCACCGAAACTGGCGCAACTACGCAAAGTACACAAAGAAACTTACATTAAAACATGCGGCAAAGTTTTCAATGATGTGCATTAGTAAATTTTGATAAAATAACACATAAAACTAAAGGGGTTTTTCACTACAAACGAACCAACCATCAATAAAATGGCGACAGCCAATCAGCAACAGAAGAGTATTGCGAATGCGCCCCAAAACGTTGCCGGCCGAGTTACGAACTAAAATTTTAAAATTAACGGCGGGGATACTTACTTTTGGAAATTGGTTTATTTTTTTGCTCTAATTAATTACATATAACGTTTAAACGCAAACGTGTAACATTACAACGAATTGACTTAGATTAAAACAAAAGATGCGTGACGTTAGTTTACGCGATTTTTTTAAACATAGACACTCGCGAAAGGGCGCGACATTTTGGCACATTTGAAAATTTACCACCTACTCCATTTTGCGGTTTCTACATATTTTCACCGAATTCTTACAGTTTAGGGATGGCAAGATTAGCCGTAATCATTGAATAAAAAATTAATGCCGTAATTCAGTCGAAATTCTTGTAGACAACGCCAACATTTTGGATTCTCTATAGCCCTCCCCCCGGAGCAGGGCAAGAAGGATATCCTGCCCCTGTCGTATAGAGCACAGGTGTGCGGAATCCATATGAAATATAGGACCCTGTTCCGAATTACTTAGGTGGAACTATCTTTTAGGGTTCCAGCACCGGTTCCGGTTCTGAGCTTCGGTAATTTTCGGTTCCGGTTCCAGTTTTGTTTCTGTTGCTTTCCTTACACACTTGGCTCCTAAATATCAGGGTTGCATAGGCGCAACAAGGGCCATTCGTATTTTTTAACATATAGAAAAAGTGCCCAGTGGCAAACTACTGTATACCAATATGGTTTTTGAGTACTTACAGAGGTACTAAATCTTAAAATTAGCACTATACCCTAATAAGACGTGTACCTATACCAGAAGAAGATAAATCTATGGGTTGGTTCAGAAGACAACACGAATCACATCCCTTCTAGTGAGGAGAGAAAATCCACTCGTGCCCAAGACGGCCTCGATCCCACCACTCGTTCTAATAGTTTAGCCGTATGGAAGCCTCCCCACTCCACAACTAAGTCTTTGAATGGCTAAGTGTAAAGACTAGTCTAGTTGGCGTCGTTTCCATAGCTTCCAGTGACACCCCGACACGCGAGTCTATAAACGGATAAACCTTTCCTAGCTGCTTCCTGTAAGTTACCCTGGGGATGGCAGGCCACCTTACGTAGTATCATTGGCCTTATCACTACAGTGTCAAGACAATAATTCCAGTCAGGAATTCTTCTACATCCCCATAGGGATGCTGTGCTCTTTTTGCTTATTCGCTCAATATGTGCTCTTTCCAGGTCCGTCTTTGATGACTCCTAAATACCTCATTGACCTGGCCAGACCCAGTTGACGTTCTCGAAGACAAGGTCCGCTCTCCTTCTATTCGTGAATGGAACAATTTTGGTATTTTCCGAGTTTACCGAGAGGCCATGGCTACTGCACCACCTATCCACCCGCTCAAGAGTCCCCTGCTTTTTTAGAGGTGCCTCTGCAGAGGTCTTAAGTTGTTCTATACTACTCCGGTATTTGCCTACCTTACGAATTAGGAAAACTCCAGGAAATCCTAATTCGGAGTAGCCGGAAGAATGCTCGAAACTGGTGTAAGGTAATTCCCATCTCTGCCACAGATGAAAAATTCACCTCAACTCAGGTTCGAACACCAGACCTCCGGATGTATAGCCCAACGTTCTACCATTGAGCCACAAAGCCGATTGTTACACAAGTCTTACCTCTCTCCAGCATTCGTGGAAATACCCTAAAGCCAGAGAGGCCCTAAAGAGGCGCAACAGATGTAAGAGGGGTTGGGACTGACCGCCCATCTCGGAGTTCCCTCGGTAACTCGGACTTACACCGTCACGGCTCACGGGTAGTATGTGTGTTTTCAGGAGGCATGCGAGAGCCTCACCCGTGGTAGACACGTATCTACCGCATGGAAGTCTCAGTGTCCCCACTTTTCCCCGGGTCTTTCAAAAGGGTTTTTCGAAGTTTTGAACTTCAAGGTCCTCCGCGATCCTCGTTTAGACCTTCGAATATGGCCCTTATACTTGCGCTGTGCGACCTTCCCATTCCGCAGGGCACGAGGAGACCACCTTGGTGGAATTCAGACCTTAAAAAGGTTCGTAAGGAAGTTCGCAGGCCCCTTAATAGGCATGCCGCATGGTCCTATTAAGGAACTTCCTTACGAACCTTTTCAAGGTCTGAGTTGCACCAAGGTGGTCTCTTCGGGCCTCCGGAACTTCTTGAGACGCACCATCCCAGGCCCTAATAAGGGAAACTGTCCTCTACAACCAGTACAAGGTCCAATGTTCCTCGCATTCGGCTGCGGATTCCAGCAGAATGCTGGCAACCGATGAAAGACCTCCCTCCCCCCCTCTTCCTTCCATTTCGTCAACAACTGCATTCAATGCAATCATAAAGCACTTCGACCGAGACTATCAGATGATGTTCATCTCCGGATGAGACATCGGAACAGTGGCCACCCTGAGTCTTGCCGCAGTGAGTTGTCCATAGGTTGTGGTGCACTCGCAATTTTGGGTTTCTAGGCTTCTTCTCAGGCTGGCTTAAGGCTTAAGCAAGACCCTAGAGTGCTTGATCCCTACGATCTGAGAAGCTGGATCCCTGATGTCGGGTTGTCTCCCTGAGTCGACGACCCAGACACAGCCTTAGGATTTGGCGTAGGGTACGCTTGGCCCACGGATTTACTGTGCTTCTGACCATCGACTTCTCCTTCTTCTTGCGAATAGGAGCTGGCCCGCCACCTGGTCCTTGAATAAGGCTCTGCGTTCGTGCCGTTACCTCTTCCGAGGGGTCTGGCCCGTTACTGAACCCCTTTTGAAGGCCCGACTTGTTGGTCCTTTCTGACGAGGAGCCCAAAAAGGGTCTGTTTTGAATTATAGTCCATACGCAATTCCCACGAGTAGTGTGGAAATGCGGTCTCATCTGGACAGAGACCATTCCCTAGGGCTGGGCCCGGCATCAGAGGGACACCGTGATTGATACGGCACCCCAGTGGCAGACAGTCCTCGGCACGGGCGCTGACACCTTCCCTTGGGAAGTTGATCCGCGACGACAACCTACCAGTCTAGCCCCGACGGGACGATCCCTCCAAAATTCCCAATATTCTGCTAGACACTTTGGATTCCCTATATAGACCTCTGCCGGCGAGTCGGACAAGGAGGATATCCTATTCATATTTTTGTTATTATTATTATGACATCTCATTAAATTTTAGATTTCATTAGAGTACCATGAAGGATGGAAGCAGCCCCCCCCTCCCCCAGCCCCTATTTTGATAAGGGGTAAGAAAGAATGGCGGTAGTAGGTAGAGAACAGTTTCTTTTTTTGAGAGAATACCGTAAATGGCAAAATCAATTCCCACCCCCTCTCCCCCCGTCTTCCAGTGATCTCGAAAAGGAGTCGTACAGGAAAGTTATACCAATTCATTTCGATGGAACCTTTCATTAGAATACCATTGTGGTATATGGTGTGACCGTGCGCATGCGAGCCAAGGGGAGACAGCTCGAGAAGAGCCACGACGAGGGACTTCGAGTGACGCGCGCGCGGGGTAAACAAGGTAAGCGACAACGCTACATGGTGACAACGGTGAGATTGGTTTTTTGTTTCGGTATCGGTAAAGGTACGTACACGCGATACAAAAACTAGTGCGTTTTTTTAATCGGTGACGAACTTACACACGCGAAACAAAAGCGAAACGATAGCGATTATAAAACAAAGTGAGTGTAAATACGCAAGGAATATGTGGAGAAACTGTAAGTAATAACTTCTTTCATTTTCTCGCAACAATCGGCATTTATACGGCAAAAGTTTTATAATACGCCCAATCTAATCATAACAAAATGACGAACGATAACGCTACACACAATGACCCCTCGCATAAGGACATTAATGCAGAACATTTTGCACGTCAACAACAAATACTTACGCAGCTACTGGAACTACAGCGGCAACAAATGACGTTATCTGCCGCGACAACGAATAACGCGGCAACGGTAGCTGTACCTAATCCATCGGTCCCGCCCCCACCGACTTTTTCTTATAAAGCGGAAGAATGGGCTGAATGGAAATGCAGCTTCTATCGCTACAAACGCACCATGTTAGTCAGCTGCTCCAGTGAGCAAACGGTCGATTATTTCATCGGGCATCTGGGTACTAAAGCGGAGAAAATTCTAAAGTCATTTCACCTTTCGACGGAAGATCAAAAAAACTTCGCTATCGTTTTAGAAAGATTCGACGCATATTTCGGCGAAAGGAAAAATTTAGTCTACGAAAGGGTCAAATTTCTTCAAAGGGTGCAAGGTTCTGATGAACCCTGCGATATATTTATAAGCGATCTAACCGCTATGGCCCAAACGTGCGAGTGGGCTCAATTAGAAGGGGAGATGATCAAATTGCGAATTATCGCGGGTTTGGCAGATAGTCGGTTGTCGATCCAATTGCAAACAAGGCCAGATGACAACGTAGACGAGGTAATCAAACGCGTTAGGTTGGCAGAATCACTCCGTAAACAACAAGCCGTAATTCGGGCAAGCGCACCAGCTCCAGCCAATGCGCCAACTCAAAGCGTAACGGAACCGGAAGAGGTTAGCGCCATCTACCACAGCAGAGGTGCCATACCAAAACAGAAACCCCATATGCAGCGACCAAATCCCCACGTTAGGACAGCTGACTACAAAAATGACACCAAATCATGTAGAAAATGCGGCCTCATTCCTCGCCACGCGTTTGCGTCGTGCCCTTCGAGAAACGACACTTGTAAAAAATGCGGCAAAATAGGACATTGGTCCACTAGATGCTTATCTAAAGTAAACAATAGACAAAACCCAAAGATTGCGAGCGTAGAAACGGCACCAGATGAGGAAGACAATTTTTTTATGGGATCGATCGACACGTCAAAACCCAAAAAACCGTGGCGCGCGATCGTTAATGTTAACGACACAAATCTAGATTTTAAATTAGATTGCGGCGCGGACGTTACGGTGATAAGATGGGACGATCTCAAAAAATTAAACAAAACAACACTCGTAGACGCACCAAAATCACTTATATCAGCCTCGGGCGATAAAATCCAAATTGTAGGAACGTTTGACGCAGATCTCCGGTATCGGAATCGCAAATCTCTCGAAAAAATTTACGTGGCAAAGAAATTGCGCGAGAATTTATTGGGCCGCGACGCGTTGGAAACATTGGGCATGCTATCCTGGGCAAATGTGGCGTCGATAGCAGAGCAATTTCCTACTTTGTTCGAAGGCATAGGAAACTTAGGCAAAACGTACCACATTAAAATTAAAGAAAACGCTGTACCTTTCGCAATAGCGGCAGCACGACGGGTACCGTTACATCTACGCGACGCAGTTAAAAAGCATCTCGACAAATTAGAGAATGAAAGCATCATAAGAAAGGTCAGTGTGGCAACAAACTGGTGTGCGCCTATGGTCGTCGTACCCAAGAAAAACAACAGCGTTCGAATATGCGTCGATTATACTATTCTCAATAAATCAGTACAATCAGAACGCATGATTCTACCTGAGATATCCGAATCCCTGGCTCTAATTGAAGCAGAGGCGGAATACTTCTCAAAGCTCGATGCAGCATCAGGATTTTATCACATTCCTTTAGACACAAACTCTCAGTTATTAACGACTTTTATAACGCCATTTGGACGCTACGCTTTTCAAAGGCTTCCGATGGGCATCACGTCAGCCACAGAACGCTTCCAAAGAGAGATGATGGAAACACTAGAAGGCCTAGAAGGCGTGGTCAACTTAGCGGACGACATGCTAATCTTCGGGAAAACCAAGGCAGAGCATGACCAGCGTTTGGCCCAAGTATTAGAGCGCTTGAAACAAAGAGGGTTAAGACTGAACAAGGAGAAGTGTGTCTTTGGAAAGAAAAAAGTGAAATTCTTAGGTTACACGATCTCCAAAGAAGGCGTGGGAATCGATGAAGACAAAGTCAAAGCCGTACTCGAGATGCCAGCACCAAAGAATGTCAGCGGCGTGAGACAACTGCTCGGCACATTGCAAGTAAATGCAAAATTTTTACCAGAATTGGCTAACATAGCAAGCCCCATATCGCAACTTTTATCTACAAAATATGAATTTTGTTGGACAGAAAGGCAACAGGCGGCACTAGAAGCCATAAAAATCGCATTAACTTCAGCACCGGTATTATCTCACTTTTCTCCTAACAGCAACACAAGAGTAGCAGCCGACGCATCGTCATTCGGTCTTGGAGCCGTACTGGAACAAGAGCAAAAAGATGGCACTTGGAAACCCGTCTCCTATGCATCACGAAAAATGTCCGAAACGGAATCCAGATACGCACAGATAGAGAGAGAGGCACTAGCGGCTACATGGGCCTGTGAGAAATTTCAAATGTACTTGCTAGGCAAACATTTTAGTCTGCGCACAGACCACAAGCCGTTGGTCCAACTGTTGGGAACAAAGCCACTATCGGATTTGTCTGCACGGCTACAAAGGTTTAGAATGCGCCTCATGCAATACTCTTATAACGTCGAATACATTCCTGGAAAGAAAATGATCATTGCCGATATGCTTTCTAGAGCGCCGATAGAATCGACCGATCCCGGCAGCGACGCGCTTTTAATCGATGAAGTCGAAGCGTTTGCGCAACACATAGGAGAAACTTTACCATTTTCCGACGCTCGTCTACAAAGGATTCGCGAAGCACAAGTCTCCGATCCACAAACGAAGAGAGTGAGGGAATACATCGTCAAAGGCTGGCCCACGAAAAAACGTATGACCCCAGAAGACCGATCATTTCACCAGTTTGAAGGTCAAATGGCGATACTGAACGATCTACTAATGCGAGGCAACAGAGTGTTCATACCGAGAGACTACAGGTCAGAAATCCTCGACCAAATACACGTAGGACACCTGGGCATAACGAAATGCAAAAGTCGAGCAAAGGAGACGGTTTGGTGGCCTGGAATAAACTCTCACATTGAAGACAAGATAAGCAACTGCAATATTTGCATTGAGCACAGCACCCCACCAACCGAAAAATTAAAACCGTCTGAGACACCAGAATATCCGTGGCAGATGATCGGGGCGGACTTGTGTAAAGTAGCGGGAAGAGCTTACATAGTCGCAGTGGACTATTGGTCAAGATACCTGGAAGTAGCCAACATGAAATCCGAGACAGCGGAAGAAGCCATAGCAAAACTAAGAACTTTCATGGCAAGATGGGGAATTCCGGAAATTCTAAGAACCGATAACGGACCATGCTTCCGGGGTAACAAATTTAAAGACTTTGCTGAGAAATATGGATTTCAGCACATCACCAGCAGTCCGCTATACCCCCAATCAAACGGTCAAGCAGAAGCAGCCGTCAAAATAGCCAAGAAAATTTTAACGAAATGCGAAGACCCAAATCTAGGATTGCTGAGCTACCGCACAGCGAAACTAAGCTGCGGATTGTCACCATCAGAGCTTATAATGGGCAGAACACCAAGGTCCAACGTACCAGCAAATAAAAGCCTGTACATACCGACATGGTCATACCTGCAATCATATAAACGCAAAAGAGAGGTGGAAAAAGCAAAATACGCGGCAGATTTCAACATTCGCCACAGAGCGCGGTCAGTCTCCCCACTTGGGATCGGCAAACAAGTATGGATCACGAACGCAAAGAAATATGGCGTAGTCGTGAACAAGGGACCGGAACCCAGAACGTACATAATAGCAGCAGACAATAATGTCTACAGGAAAAATAGATCACACCTCATAGGAGTCACGAACATACCAATTCAGCAACAAGAAGACCTAGATATAGATCTACCAGAAGACTCCCAACAAATATCACGGGAAGAGGGGAAGGAGATGAAAGATGACAACAGAGGCCGAGAGAACGCAACCATCGTCGAAACAGAAGCTGGAGAAGGTAGCCAAGCAGAAGAAAACGGAAGAGACCAACAACGCACAATCGTTGCGGAAACGGAAGAGAGCGCGAGGCAGAAGGAAAATGAGGCCACCGCACCAAGTCCTACAGAAAACGCGACCGCAGTAGGAGGGAAAATAGAGGCCAATACCAGGGCACATCAAGAAAAGTCAAACGCGCACCACCAATATGTAACTCGTTCAGGGCGCCTAGTTAAACCGCCGCGAAATATATGCAACTGCACCAGCGGGTGCAATCACTAAAGGCCGCTGCGATATTTTCCCCAAAAATACTACTCATTGTGTACGTATAGTTAAAAGGACCAAAAGTGTGTGCGTGTATTTAAATCAAGTGTATTGTAAATAATAAGTGTGACTGTCGAACATAAGCATGTGCATGTTTAGTATTAGTGTTAGACAAGCCGGGAACATGACGTCCGGTCCGAACACCCTACAGAAGGGGGGATGTGGTATACGGTGTGACCGTGCGCAGGAGCAAATGAGAGACAGCTCGAGAAGAGCCACGACGAGGGGACTTCGAGTGACGCGCGCGCGGGGTAAACAAGGTAAGCGACAACGCTACAACCATGAAGAGTAGAACGTGTGTTCCCATCCCCCTCCCAATGTTCAAAAGTTTTACTTGGCACGTTCTCCGTATGTAAAAAGGGAACAAAGTAAAACGATCCGTGGGCCGCTTTCATGGCACAATTCGCAATCTGCCTATCAGCAGGCGAAATAGACCCACGATGCGCCGAAGCAACTTGATCAGTATAGATTCCATTATTGGAAATTGAAGAAATAATGCCCAAGAAGAGAATCAAGCATGGGATAGTTGGCCAACCAGATCACGATTCAATAATTGATCCATAAGTAACTATATAACTGATTTGACGCGGATGCGATTCTTGGAAAAAGAAGAAAACCCGTAAGGTGCATACAATAAACTTTCCACCTTTAAGAAGGAAGAGTAACATAAGACCCGTAGATCCATGAATGACCTGTGAACAAGCAGATCAAGATCAAATTGACCCATATATGCTACTACATCAGGTGTTCTAACAACCCCATGCCGCGCCGTCGGAACGGATTCGTGGTAACCAAGTCTGGGAGAGAGCGTCAAGAATGAAAACAAATCTGTACGATCCGCAGATCGAATTGGCACATAATCGATATATCGCCAACCTGATTGAACCACGACGTCACGACCCAACTTTGATTCATGGAAAAAAGTGCTCCATGAATGGAAACAGTGTTTTTGAAACGGAAGATTCATTTAAAACCTGAAAATAAAATTGACTTAGAAAACACCCAGTTCAAAAATGAAATTAACCCATGTCACCAGATCATTTGATCTGATGGATCCAGGGTTCTTGAAAAAATATACCATAAGGACCAAGACAAGCAGTTCCAAAAGATCCATGTCTTTAAGAACGAAGACCCGCAGATCTCATCAGCTGACCTGATTGCTCCACGACTTGCCTACCCAAGTTTATTAACTAGGGGATGCGGCTCTTGGAAAAAGTAAAAAAAAATGCTGCGACACAAGCTTCCTTATTAAAGACTTGCGTATCCATTTGATCCATGTCGCCAGATCAGCCGATCTTATTGACCCACTGGCTCATCTTGCGTTATGGGTTTAATTTCAAGGCGAATGATACTATGGTAGGTACTTAAGACTCGCAAATGTAATTAACCCATGAGTTACTAGATCCACTAGTCTAATTGATACCTGCGACGCACCAACTGAACTGGACCTGCTCACTCGATTCTTGAGGAAATAAATGTTTTCATAATGGAGGAATATTCTTCCAATACACGTTTATTGAGTAAACAATTGGAAAGGTCCAGATCAAAGTAAGGAAATTCTTCACTTAAACGTTGATGAAATCTCTGAGTTTCTGAACGTTGGAGTAGATGCCCGGCCATCTTCGATCGGCGCATCCCCATCCCCAGGAGACGATGCCAACTTGTACACCATCATCAGAAACGAGCGGGCCACCAGAGTCTCCCTGCAAGATCAATGAAATCGTAACCTCCGAGACGAGGATGACTCCAATTTTCGCTTACCTGACAGGAGTCCTTTTCGTATTCGCCGAAGCATATCATCACGTCCGTGAGAACACCCTCGTAGGCGACGTTACATTCGGTTCTACTCACTTCGCGAAGCTTGACAGCTTTCAAATGCGTTGGAAAGGGCCCACCCGACTCCAAGACACCCCATCCTGTTACGACAGCGGTACGACCGCCTTCGACGGCGTCGCGAGGGACCAATTCGACGATTCGCGCGTTTTTGCCCATTTGAATGTCGGAAACGAGAGTGATTACCGAAACGTCGAACTCCAAGGTGTAGGAATCGAATGAGGAATGTTCCTCGACGTCCTTAACTTGCACAACATCGCCACCATCCTCCTTTGTGGTCGAACCGTAACGAATGCTCATATGATCCCTTTCCTTGCGCTTAACCGTGCAGTGAGCGGCAGTCAAAATTTTGTTGGGTGCGATTATCGATCCACCGCAGAAGTGGCTTCCGTAATATTGTAGGGAGACTTGGTACGGATGTTCTTCAATGTCGACGTCGTAACCACCTACGATTCTTCCATCGAGTCGTGGAAGACGAGAGTTTGGCCTTGCTTCTAACGTGAAAAGCCAATAGAACTAGGAACCGCGATAACCAACCAAGACTTACCGACGGCAAGTGCCAGGAGAGCTGCAACCAAGAGAGTCTTGAACATGTTGCCCCAAAAGTGAAGACTCCGCCGAATCTTCTCGAATTTATACCGGATCTCGAGCACCTATTACGTTGTAATTGATTAGATAGTACCTACCTTTTTTGTACCATTGTTTCGTTCGTAAATCAGATGATAACGCGCGCTTATCAAATTTTTTCAAACGTAGTTGAGCACTTCATCTATTTTTGAGAAGCCTTGGATTTCCCCAAGTCACAGCTTGTACCCTACGTTTTCCGTTTATGTCCTGGTTTTGTCTGGCCGTTCGTCTGTTTTCGTCGTCTCACCTGAGAACGAACCATCACCAATCGTTTTCTACGAGTTCAAGGAGAAGTGTTTCCGAAAGCGACCCGAGTGTCAGAAAATCGTATGGCTGGGTATCAATCTGGAGGATTGCCCTTTCTTCCCCTTCAATTTTTTTGCTTCTCAGAGATTTTATTTCCTGTCTCTTTATGGTACGTTCTAGTTGTTTTCCAGGTTTCTTAAACTGCTCTAAACCTAGAGAGTTTTGGAAAGTGCACAGTACCTATATATGTTTTTAGCGCCATTTTCTAATAATTAAAACAAGTTAAAATTTATTCCTTTCGTTGAGACCGTTCCCCGAAATACCGGGATCCCGCAGCATTTTTGCGGGATTAATCCCGCACATAAATGGAGCAGGATGCCGCGGAATTTGCGGGACTGAGGAATTTGTCGACCAAGTAGACAACTCTGTTTACTTTGTTAATGAAACGCATAACGAAGAAGTTATTTTTTATATAGGTAATTGTTAAACTTTTTTCGTTAAAAATTTACCTACTATGATTTTTGAGGCACTTTAGTTCACCTTTTTGTGCTTTACAGGTGAGGTTCTTTTGAGTTCTAAGTTAGGCCGAAGGTACTTCTTTGCTAAATATTGTGATAATTAGCGACTTATTTTAATGCAAAATTAAACCGCACAGAATTGCTTAGTTGCCAATTTAAGTTTTGCAAATACCGGGATTGAGTTTTTGTTGCGGGATTGCATTCCCTAGTCACATTCTATTAGAAAATTTTTTTTCCGGATCGATCTGAGACAATTTTTTTTTCGGGGCTCAAAAAAAGGCAGTGTATAACCTTCCTTTTTTACCAAAAATCGACTGCACCAAAAATTCTCGGGAAAACACTTTTTCTTATTAATTTTGGTGCGTAGAATCCAAAACAATTCGTACTTTTTCAAAATTTCTCGGGAAAACACTTTTTCTTATTAATTTTGGTGCGTAGAATCCAAAACAATTCGTACTTTTTCGATCAGACTTCTCAATCAAAAGTTATAGACTAGAAACCAATTTCGAAAAAAAATTCAAAGGGCTGTAACTTTTGAACTAGTAGCCCAATCTTGGAACTGTTTGAAATTATGGATTCTACAGGCCACATTCTATAAGAAAATTTTTTTTCCGGGTCGATCTGAGACAATTTTTTTTCGGGGCTCAAAAAAAGGCAGTGTATAACCTTCCTTTTTTACCAAAAATCGACTGCACCAAAATTTCTCGGGAAAACACTTTTTCTTATTAATTTTGGTGCGTAGAATCCAAAACAATTCGTACTTTTTCGATCAGACTTCTCAATCAAAAGTTATAGACTAGAAACCAATTTCGAAAAAAAATTCAAAGGGCTGTAACTTTTGAACTAGTAGCCCAATCTTGGAACTGTTTGAAATTATGGATTCTACAGGCCACATTCTATAAGAACATTGTTTTTCCGGGTCGTTCAGAGACAATTTTTTTTTCGGGGCTCAAAAAAAGGCAGTGTATAACCTTCCTTTTTTACCAAAAATCGACTGCACCAAAAATTCTCGGGAAAACACTTTTTCTTATTAATTTTGGTGCGTAGAATCCAAAACAATTCGTACTTTTTCGATTAGACCTCTCAATCAAAAGTTATAGACTAGAAACCAATTTCGAAAGAAAATTCAAAGGGCTTTAACTTTTGAACTAGTAGCCCAATCTTGGAACTGTTTGAAATTATGGATTCTACAGGCCACATTCTATAAGAACATTGTTTTTCCGGATCGTTCAGAGACAATTTCTTTTTCGGGGCTCAAAAAAAGGCAGTGTATAACCTTCTTTTTTTACCAAAAATCGACTGCATCAAAATTTCTCGGGAAAACACTTTTTCTTATTAATTTTGGTGCGTAGAATCCAAAACAATTCGTACTTTTTCGATCAGACTTCTCAATCAAAAGTTATAGACTAGAAACCAATTTCGAAAAAAAATTCAAAGGGCTGTAACTTTTGAACTAGTAGCCCAATCTTGGAACTGTTTGAAATTATGGATTCTACAGGCCACATTCTATAAGAACATTATTTTCCGGATCGATCAGAGACAATTTTTTTTCGGGGCTCAAAAAAGGCAGTGTATAACCTTTTTTTTACCAAAAATCGACTGCATCAAAATTTCTCGGGAAAACACTTTTTCTTATTAATTTTGGTGCGTAGAATCCAAAACAATTCGTACTTTTTCGATCAGACTTCTCAATCAAAAGTTATAGACTAGAAACCAATTTCGAAAAAAAATTCAAAGGGCTGTAACAACTAGTAGCCCAATCTTGGAACTGTTTGAAATTATGGATTCTACAGGCCACATTCTATAAGAACATTTTTTTCCGGATCGATCAGAGACAATTTCTTTTTCGGGGCTCAAAAAAAAAATTCAAAGGGCTGTAACTTTTGAACTAGTAGCCCAATCTTGGAACTTCTTTGAAATTATGGATTCTACAGGGCACATTCTATAAGAAAAATTTTTTTCCGGGTCGATCTGAGACAATTTTTTTTGAGGGCCTCAAAAAAAGGCAGTGTATAAACCTTCCTTTTTTACCAAAAATCGACTGCACCAAAATTTCTCGGGAAAACACCTTTTCTTATTAATTTTGGTGCGTAGAATCCAAAACAATTCGTACTTTTTCGATCAGACTTCTCAATCAAAAGTTAGAGACTAGAAACCAATTTCGAAAGAAAATTCAAAGGGCTGTAACTTTTGAACTAGTAGCCCAATCTTGGAACTGTTTGAAATTATGGATTCTACAGGTCACATTTAGGGAATGCAATACCGGGATCGCGGGATCCCGAAATACCGGGATCCCGCAGCATTTTTGCGGGATTTATCCCGCACATAAATGGAGCAGGATCCCGCGGAATTTGCGGGACTGAGGAATTTGTCGACCAAGTAGACCACTCTGTTTGCTTTGTTAATGAAACGCATAATGGAGAAGTTATTTTTTATATAATTGTTAAACTTTTTTCGTTAAAAATTTACTATGATTTTTGAGGCACTTTAGAAGTTCACCTTTTTGTGCTTTACAGGTGAGGTTTTTTTGAGTTCTAAGTTAGGCCGAAGGTACTTTTTTGTTAAATATTGTGATAATTAGCGACTTATTTTAATGCAGAAGTTAACCGCACAGAATTGCTTAGTTGCCAATTTATTTAAAGTTTTGCGGGATCCCGCGGAATTAACATCTAGCAATCCCGCAAATACCGGGATTGAGATTTTGCTGCGGGATTGCATTCCCTAAACACAAGTAATTCATTTCTATACCAGCCACAGTCCTCCTCCTCTACCCCTGATATAGTGATCGGTTATAATTCCTCATGTCTCATGAGCGGAGTGTCGGAGTAGGGTACTCACAAAGAGCGATTGGAGCGTCTGGAAGAAATTGGTGTGGTCAAAGCGAATATCTCAAAAACGGAGTGTCGAAGAGTACTCACACAGAAGAAATGAATCTTCTGGACGCCCTGTACATAACCACTTTATATTCCCTGTTATGTGCTGCCTATAAGCCACCGATGCTCTAGAATTGCACTTCACTTGCGCATGCATTCGTCGATAGTAATTCATTGAACAACAATCGAAAAAACAAGATGTCGCCCTACAGCCATCAATAATAATGAACGTGTTTGTTAAAAAGCAACACGTGATTTTCATCGAGAATGTGTACAACACGTCATGAAGCCGTCGTTATAATCGCCTTAGTCGCCATTACCTCTTGTCTTCGTTTTCATTCCTTTCATTCATATTCCTTGCGTAATTATGCCAATTTCTAGTACTGTACCGTCGTACCGATCGCCAACCAGATTTAGAATCGATTACTTTATTTGTATTCTTTAATAATAAACACCTTAAATCATTCGTGTCCGCAATTGCATTTCTTTATACAGTATATTACATTATAAATATCGAAGCCGCTTTTGTACGCTCTAGTTTTCGTAAATTATTTAATTTAGATGGTGGACCCATCTGGCCGTATTTGTGTTACATCTGGTCGTTGCGATAAGGAATTTTATTGTTAGGCGAAATTTAATTAACGCACGTGTCTTTTCACTGACACGAGAATCTGCAAATGTTAAGAAGAATTTGGAGAAGTTGGGACGTTTGATTTAAAAAAACTGTAACTAATTTTTTATTTCAATTGTCGCCAACCTGCGTGCGGGATATTACGTCCAGACAGGCTTTGCAAGCTGTCCTTTCATTCAGGGATTTCCTTTTAATTCGTTCGTATGTTTCGGAATAAATGTTTGCCATTCTTCAAATCCAAAATGCGACCCAGATCATGCCAGATTTTTCTATTCGATTTATTTCAGGTGTTAATCAAAATTTGTGTTAAATATACATTCTTTGGAATTTTCAGAAGTTGATCGAGGCAACCCAGTCTCTCAAATTAAGAAGTTTTAAGTCAATATTGGGATTTTTCATTGTAGCGTATTTGTTTCGAACTAGCTGAACAGGTCCTTTGTGGGTGGGGCGGCGTAGTATCCGCATGCATTGCACATAGCAATATCTATTAGTGAAGTCGAAACGAATAACTCGAAAACGAAGTGTCGGAAGAGGTAACTCATAAAGAACAAGTGGAATGTCTAGACGAGGCACATCGCTACCACTGATGTTAAAACTTTCAGTCGGAGGAGGTACATTCAAAGGACGATTTACAAATCTACTGGTCATGTGAAGACTTAAGTTGGATCTCGAGAATGGAGTGTCGTAAGAAGGGATTGATTTTTCTTGCATAATATAGCGCGTATTTCAAATGTGTGCCTCTTTTTAATTAATCATTTACCAAGGCGTTTTTTAGGTTAAAATAATGCCGAAGATAAAAATGTATATTTAAATTTTACAAATAAGCATGGTATTTGTTTGTTTCATCATAATTTGTTTTTAATTGCCTTACTTTCTTGTTTCGTGTAAGTTATTTAAATTATAAGATGTAAAAATTGCATTGTTTAGAATTAGGGAATATCTGGTCCAATTCATTTAAGTGCTATCTGGTCGATTGCGATAAGAAATGTTATCGGATATACTTTATTAACGCACGTGTTACCTATCGCGATAAAAAGAGATAACGAAGAGGCAGGTGCGCGTGTCCTTTTCGCATTAATTTGGGCGTAAGTGAGGACGCGCGTCGCCTTTTGTTTACTTGATGTATTGAAATTAATGGAAGTTGCAGTTTGATTATGTAATGGTGGTGGTTTACCTTGAAATAGGAAAAATAAGGAAGAAAGTTCAAGTTCAAGTCACGACGGATTAAAGAGCGTGCATTTCTTTGTACGCTAACTTTACGAAGCAATTGTTATTTCTGTTTGCTTAAGAATACAGTTTCGTCCATACTGGATTAATCAGTCTAGAAGTAGTTGCAGTTGAAGTCTTGTGAGAAGGTAATGTGGTTTGTCCGTTGTCCAAAACCACTAAACACAATTTCGGAATATTCCTTACCTTCAGGAAGAAGCGGATGACTCAAATTAAACTAGCTAAGTACGACTTGTTGCCAAAAAAATTACCGCGCGTTTCCTGTTATACCCAATGATGTAGAAAAAGGCCAACTTGTCGTCAAACGACATCATCTAGACAATCTCCCAATCTGTTTTCTGCAAACCAACCAAACGGATGTCCCGATTTTTAACCAAATTTCACGTTACGCAACCAAAACTACAAAATCACCATCTTGCCGCTAGGTATATTTCTACAAGAAGATCTCGAATCGTGCAAATTCCGAAAGCTCACGAAGGTAAACAAACCAATAATCATACTACGGGCAAAAGTCATACGAGACCGACATCCCTACTACACTTATCACAACCAAGCGTTACAAATCATGTGTCAATCCGCCTCGCTTAGGTCACTAATCTTCTTCTGGATTCTTAGGAAAAAGGTAAATAACTGTTAGATAACCGTTATTAATTAATAAAACAGTTTCTATTTTTTTTAAACTGTCACAACCGAAAGTAGCTCTAGGGTCTTCATTGATTAAGGAATGAAGAAGAGCTACAGAAAATCTGCCTTGTCAGTTCTGAAATCCCATTAGTGGTAACCATTACGAATTAACAAAAATTATGGCAATACAAGAACAAATTCAACAAATATTTTACGCCTTCATAAAAACAACCAAACACCCCTAGACACAGCGCACAAGCCGATAACAAAAATCTACCTTCCTCTGCGAATTGTTAAAATCAAATTATTAACTAAAGGAAAAATTCCCCAGAACGATTGCACCATAATTGATAATTTTATAAACATAATTCAAGCTACGTTACCAACTAATTTGCTACGTACTTATATGCGAAAACATCAGGTATGTGCTACCTATAACAAATAAACAAAGCAACCCCTAAGTATGCTCCTAACTGCATTGATAACTCATTGCACATCTTAGACAAAAGACCCTGCAAACTAAAATTTATAAAAACAAGCACCTAATATAAACCGACGGGAATGTATTCGATCACGTTAAGGGGTAGAGGAGGACTATGGTTGATAGAAATTAATTGCTTTCGTTGAGACCTTTCATAAGAGTAACATGAAGCATTAAACCAGTTCCACCCCCACCCCCCCTCACACACTCTTTTGATAAGAACTCAGAAACAAGGGCGCTCGGTCGTTTGTAGAAACCAGTCCCTTTCGTTGAGACCTTTCATTAGAATAGCATAAAAGTTAAAATTAATTTGTAATTCCCCCCCCCCCCTCCCCCTTCCCCCAACGCCGTCACCTACTGATCTCGAGAAAGAGTCGCGAGGGAGAGTTATAGTTTGTACCTAGGTTTGTATATCCTAATTTATTTCGACGAGACCCTTCATTGGAATACCATGAAGGATAGAACGTCTATTTACCACCCCCATCCCCCCCCTTCCAAAAATTTTACTTGTCACCACGCATGCGTAAGGAAAATCTGAGACCAATTGAGAAAAAAAACTCCCGCATCCTTCTCTCTCGCTCGAAGAAGAAACCACAACTCGCATCTACTTCCCAACCTTCGTCCCTACCAAGACATATTTAATGGCGCAACACTCGCGTCTTCTTTAATGCGAGAACTGTTCAATTTAAAACGCCCACGTTATGGCCTTCCAGAGCTTTGCAGTTGCTTTCTGGTGCTTTTTGGGCCACTGATACCTGTGGCTTTCTAGAGACTGAGTTTTCTAGACCTTTTCGGCGAAAAAAGGTAAACCCAATGGTCTTAATATGCAATACCCAGGGTCAGTTTGGAAACAATCTCGGTTTCATCTGTACCTACAGCGCCCTCTGTTTCAGTACTTTTTAAATGCGGGTCATGTTTTTTGGGAGATGATTTATGGCTTGTAGGCCGTCGCAAATCTTGCTCCTTCGTGCCGGTAATAATAGAAAAAGATAGGATGTACGAACTGCCAATGGAGGGTATGGGGAATACGTGTCAAATTACACTAAAACATGCTCAAGATGTACATAAAACACAGATATCCTTCCAATATACGTTTATTGAGTAAACAATTGGAAAGATCCAGATCAAGTGAGGAAATTCTTCACTTAAACGTTGATGAAACCTCTGAGTTTCTGAACGTTGGAGTAGACGCCTGGATATTGTGGATCGGCGCAACCGTATCCCCAGGAGACGACACCAATTTGTGCACCATCAGCAACGAGTGGGCCACCAGAGTCTCCCTGAAAAATCAATCGTAACTTCCGAGACGAGGGTGACTACCATTTTCGCTTACCTGACAGGCGTCCTTTTCGTGTTCCCTGAAGCAGATCATCACGTTGGAGATCTGTCCATCGTAGGCGGCGTTACATTCGGATCTGCTCACTTCGCGAACCTTGACGGCTTTCAACAGTTGAGGAGAGGGTCCATCGGAGTACAAGGCGCCCCATCCTGTGACGACAGCAGTACGACCTCCTTCGATAGTTTCGTGAGGGACAAGTCCGATGATTTGCGCGTTCTTGCCCATTTTGATGTCGGAAACGAGAGTGAGCACCGAAACGTCGAAGTCCATCGTGCTGGCATCGTATGCGTAATGTTCCTGGATGTCCTTAACTTGCACCACAGTACCGCCTTCCTCCCTTGAGGTCGAACCGTAATGAATGCTCAAATCCCCGGCGTTGTACTTAACCGTGCAGTGGGCGGCAGTCAAAATTTTGTTGGGTGCAATTATCGATCCTCCGCAGAAGTGGCTTCCGTAATATTGTAGCGAGACTTGGTACGGATGTTCTTCAATTTCGACGTAGTAACCACCTACGATTCTTCCATCGAGTCGTGGAAGACGCGAGTTTGGTCTTGCCTCTAAGGTGAGAAGGCCATAAGACTATGAAGCGCGAGAATAAACTAAAACTTACCGACGGCAAGAGCCAGGAGAGCTGCAACCAAGAGAGTCTTGAACATGTTGCCCAAAAAGTGAAGACCCTACCGAATCATCTCGGTTTTATACTGGATCTCGAGTACCTACTTGACTAGATAGTACCTACATGTGTACTGCTTAGAAACACCTATTGTTTGTTGATTGGTCGAATCCATTTATGGATCGCAATTGAAGACGTAGTTAAAAAAATGACAAGATTTTGAACGAGAGATATTGTTCGTAGATTAAATGATAACTGGCTTATCAATTTTTTTCAAACGCAATTGAGCACTTTATCTATTTTTACAAACGAACTTTAACCACGAATCAATTGGAACCATGTACTGAAATATTTCTAAAAACCCTGTCTTGGTGACAAGGTCTCCCTTATGTTATGTCACCAACTTGGTTAAGGTGCTTATTTGAAACACAGCTGTTTTTCCTCCCTCCTTTTGTTTAACCGTTTTGCATCTGTGGCCAAGTATCAATCAGATTGTTCTTTCTTCCCTAAGCGCCTAGGAAGTCCCACCCCAGCATTGTGCCTGAGTTCTGTCTGGGGTCCAAAGGTTCTGTTCTTACGACACAGTCTTTTCTTTTGGTGCAGAAAAAGCGCATTTTTTTAAAACCGAAATAGCTTAATAAGTGTTTGGGTTATAAGGAGAGGAGTCACTTTACACATAAACATTTGAAGACCGTCCGGCATACATTCAAAATCCCCCGACACTCCATTCTGCAGATATTTGTACTGAAAGTTTCGACTTCACCAATAGATATGTCTCCTCCAGTCGATTCATTTTGCCTGTGAGAGAGTACTTTCCTCCGACAAACCGTTTTCGAGATATTCGCTCTTAAAGTTTTTTGACATCATCTATGAATAATTTTTCCCAGATGTCCCAACTACCAATCGCCCTTTGTGAGTACCCTCTTCTGACAATCCGTTCTGGAGATATAATAAGAGACAATAAGGGGTGGAGGACGAGGAGGGCTATGATTGACAGAAATTAATTCCTTTGGTTGAGACCTTTCATTAGAGTACCATGAAGGATAAAATCAGTTCTATTCCCCCCCCCCCCCCTCAACCCTTTCTTTTGATAAGGGGAAAGAACGAAGAGCAGTTGTTGGTAGAATAAATGGTTCATTTTGTAGAAACCTTTAATTAGAATACCAGGAAAGATAAAATTAATTTACCCCCCCCCTCGCAAGTCCCGTCACCCACTACAGCTAACATCTAATGTACAGCACTTTTGAGCCCTCTCTAAACTGGGGTAAATGCTACATACACGCTATGAGTAACCAAAATGGAATCGAGCCATTCCCCAGGTATTACAACACATACATCAGACAAAACTAAGAGGTATTAAATATGCCTCGCCGGACGGTAGGATTAGCTAGGCCCAGTGGGGTGTCTGTAGACGTGGGCTAAAGTTGTTGGGTTTCGGAACGAATGAAAATATTAGTGTTGCGTTCACCAAGGTCCGCATAAACTTGAATAAGTCGATACTCTCTAAACAAGCTCACTTCCACACATGCAGATATGTACAGCACAGACACAGCCCTACCGACAATGAAACATGATTTCCAATACCAACAAAGGTTACACATTAAGAGGTACAAGTGTTTGAATCCAGTAAGTTCATAAGTAAAGGGTTACAATATGCATTCAAGTTACACACATTTATAGATTAATTGAATAAAGCAAATACCTCACCTGATATAAATAGCAAAAGTGTACAGCAATGATTAAGGTATAACAAAATATTTCAAGATAAGCCGTGTACTTTACACTTAAGCCGGTTACCAGAAAAAGACCACGAACACACATGTTAAATCGTATTTATTGACTACCCCAAGCGACTCTGTACCTTGATCTCTTAACACCCCTAAAAACCACCCGAAAATCGCCCATTCCCTGCATTTCACGCATTTTTAGTAAAAAAACTGGACTGCAGGTGTTTGAAATAGTAACCACATGTGGTCTTCCGAGTAATTCCATCCGTCTCATCTTCGCTCACTTTCCCTTTTCTGTAATCCCGCCAGATTTTGGTTGGCAGCTTGTGTAACTAACATGATGTATAGGGTGCTTCGTATCGACAACATATTCACAGGACGTTGCTAAGGTTGGGGCATCTCAACCAGTCCCCTAAAAGTAGTTCAAAGCGGCAGAGGTGGGTCCGGACCGACGGACGTACGGATGGACAAAAGGCAAACAATAGCACATTTTTCTTAATTCTTAAAAAAATGCGCGAAAAATTAATTCCCACGGCCACGCCACGCCTGGATTTCTCGGGATGAGCTTTTTTAGATCCACTTACAGAGCTCCACAGCGTTATTCTAGAACCGTTGGCCTCAACGACCGCCATTTTCAGGTCTTTTAGGTTTTTACAAGGGTTTCCTAGGAGACTTTTCAAGGTGGTTTATATAAGATTGTGACGATCTTAGGGGTCCCCAGTCGGAACTACAATCTTGACTTGGCCTATACTTACAGTTGGCAACTCTGGGGAAAATTCAAGCCCCGACGAAGGTACCCCAACAGTGGAAACTACCCTGGCCTGGATCCTGTAAACCAGTCCAGTTGCGCCCAACACGTACTATCGACACCCTGAAGGCACTGATCGACGCCCTCCAGAAAGTTCAAAGGAACACGACGCCAGAACTACTATCTTTTCAACTAGAGGACCTTACGGCGTTCTTCAGCACCCTCGAAATCGAAATTCCCACGACGAACCCGACGGAAGCACTGAAGCCGGCGCAATTTAGAGATTCGGGGTAAGTTCCCTTCGGAATTCTTCGGTCGAGAGAATAATCTGGAATCTTCACAACTGTTCCTCCAAAGGAGGGTTCGGTTACCAAAGCGCCTGGAAGATTCCAATGAGCGAGCACCTCGAGCTGCTGAAGGACTTGTAACCCTCACGCATCAGGCGGTCCTTACTAACCACAACGCCTACGTCACTGCTCGACTTAGTAAGCCTCGAGAACACGCCGCAGTCACGCTCGGTGATGGCGCCCAGATGTCGCCGACTCTACATCATGTAGCCCCGTTCCCAAAGTTGTTAATTACGCGGCCCTGGTAGGTACACATGTACACTCCCCGTCTTTCTACTGGCATTTGCTGTCAGCCAGTCAGCCAGGCGGACAAAGTGAGATTAAAAACTATCATTTTATAAATCAATTTGCAAAAATGCGCTAAAAAGACGACCGCCCCTAGATTCAGTATCGACTACCGACGACGTCTGAACGCGGTCACAACGGACGGAAGCAGTAATCTGTCATTTATACAAGAAACCCGCCGACTAATAACTCTGGTACGATTCATAAAGCCTAGAAAATGGTCTAGATAGCTTTAATAGGTAGAAACCACCTGAAAACTTCTGGCTCATTGTGACTGTAGACCGTTCAGGGACATGTTAAGTTCTTTATAGACTCTGAAACAGTCTGCAAACACATTTTCCGAAGCTGTACAAGTTTACAAAAGTCCTAGAAAGCTAATATGGTTCAAAAGGAAAGTCTGGAGGGGTTTAAACCGAACTGGAAAGGACCTTGGGAATTCGGGAGAACCTTAATTGCCATAAAAGATCATCGAAGCTTCTAATAACATGTTAAATGACCTTCAAGGATAAATTAAATTCTTCTGAATTTTCAAAAGCTTTGAAAACACCTAAGGAACTCTAATATATTTCCCAGAAAGCAATGGAAGGGCGTAAGTAGCTCTGTCAGGGCGTCTAGAATACTCGGAAAGCTCTTTGATTACCGTGAATGGTCATCAAAAAGACTCTCGAAAGGGCAGTAGTAGGTTCCTTTCGTTGAGACCTTTAATTAGAATACAATGAGAGATAAAATTAATCCACCCCCCCCCCAGCATCTCAGGAAATAATTCGTGGGGGGGGGGCTTTTAGACAGCGAAATTTGATGGCTGTCTGGCACACCTTCAAGGTATAGGCTACCTACTGCAAAAAATTCTAGGACTCTAGGTCCATTCCCCTGAAAGTAGCTCAAAACGGCAGAAGTGGGTCCGGACGGGAAGACGGACGGACGGATATAACGCAAATAATAGCAAATTTTTTTTAATTCTTAAAAAATGCGCTAAAAAGCGTAATACAAATGTTTTATTTACGAAGGGCCATGCACCTGCAAAGCTACATCCAGACACTATTTTCTACAATACAGATTAACATGGTTTCAAAATTGCTGATATAAGGAAAGGGCACCCAAATATGTTTGAAGACGGGCCTCTAAAATGAAGTAACACCACTGAGTACGATTCATTTAACACTAAAAGTACATGTGAAAATACAAACAGCACCCTCCAACCCGAAGAAAATTTAATTAAAGGACCGCCTTTCTCGTATTGCTAAGACACAAGAGCTGACGAGATGAGGCAGCAACAGCCAAGCATTGGAAATGTATGAGGCAACCAAATCTTGGAACACGTGATGCTTTAATAAACAAATATCAGCAATTTATGCAAGAACAAATTGGGACATGTAATTTGATGACTGAGTGTACGAGTACGAGACAGGACAAAATGATTACTATACACTTTTCACAGTAGGCGTGTGTCATCACAAGACCTTTTCAGAGCATTGTGGACCTTTTCCAAAGTTTTGTAGATTTCGGAAGGAACATAGGAAGCTCTATAAGGACGCACTTAAGTGATACTGGTTCTAATCTTATTGTTCTAGCTTTTTAAAGCTTTATATGCGCTTTCCACTTCTCTTTAGGCCACCGATAAAGTTATTTAGGACTTCTCGTAGACTTTCTAGAGCTAGACCATCCATTTTTAAGATTAGGGAAAAAACTAGGTGGTACCGCGAAGGGTTTCTTTCCAGAGTCTTTTTGATGACCCTTCACGGCAATCGAAGAGCTTTCCGAGCATTCTAGACGCCCTGACAGAGCTACTTACGCCCTTCCATTGCTGTCTGGGAAGTATATCAGAGTTCCTTAGGTCTTTTCAACGTTAAATTCAGAAGAATTTAATTTATCCTTGAAGATCATTTAACATGTTATTAGAAGCTTCGGTGATCTTTTATAGCAATTAAGGTTCTCCAGAATTCCCAAGGCCTTTCCAGTTCGGTTTAAAACCCTCCAGACTTTCCTTTTGCACCATATTAGCTTTCTAGGACTTTTGTAGACTTGTACAGCTTCGGAAAATGTGTTTGCAG